GGGGGGGGGTGGTGGGGGTCACGGCAGGTGGAAGGGTGCATGATGGGGATGGAGGTGTGAGGTCTGAGCACGGGGGGCTCTGTGCCTCCCTCTACTCCCAGGCATCATCTCCCGCTGCTCCCATTGGCCATGATTCTGGCCAATGGGAGCAGTGGGGAAAGTCCCTGCACTACCGTTCCCCAATTTTAGAACCAGACCTCCTGGTTTGATGCCCACGGAGAGCCGGGCCAGGGGCAGCAGGGACGGGGATGGGAACTGGAAAGTGCCACTGGGTTCCCCCCCTCTGCCCTCCGGCACACACCGGTGCCACACGCATGATGCAGAGCCCCGCAAACGCATGATGCAGAGCCCTACAAACAAGCAGGAACGACCGAAGCCCTGAATTACCTGGGGTGTTAGGCCACCAGCTCGTACGTTTCAAAGAAGCTGGAGAGAGAGGAAACAAGGAGGGAAGGTTAGTTTTCCTTCTACACGTCCCATGGTGATGCTCCGTCGCTGACAGCGCCACGCTTGGCGCAAACGTGGGTCATTACACGAGGGCGACGGGAACAAGGGGTGAACTCCAGCTCAGTTTCCCCGCTTCCTATATTGCTACTTTGGGGGACCGGTATCAATCAGCCAGCGGGGCGTGGCAGGGGCGAAGGGCCGACCCTCTCTTGTGCCTGCCCTCTGAGGAATGCGCCTTGGAATGGGAGATGCTCGAGGAAGCCCTGGCCCCGGCCGGTAAGTGCTTCCCAGACACTCCCCTCTGCAGAGGCTGGAGTGCAGGCGGAAGGACTGGCCTGCGACAGAAGATTGGAGAACTCAGCATCTGGGGCTGGGAGGTCAGACTCAACCTCTGCACCACCTCTGCGATGTGCACAGCCGACCGAGCACCCCCCGTCAGCCAGCCTGGCCACAGGGGATGGCGTCGCACTGGGACTTGTGCCGGGAAGTGCTCAGCTTTGGCTCCTGCAAACCCAGGAGTCTCTGGCTGTAGCAGCCACAGACTTGTCCACCCACCGAGCCTCCCTTTCGGGATTCCTGTTAGAGAAGGGGGGCTGGCGAGGGAACCATTTCCCCACCTGTCAGGCCAAGTCCTTCCTTGCACAGCGCATGAGGCTCGCACGGTGAACGCACGAGGGCCCCTCCAGGCTTTGTCACAGGGAGTCCAAACACCCTTGGGACGTGGAGAACAGCTCTGGGCAAACAGCCCCTGGTCCAAAGCACTCAGCACCTCAAAGCCTTGTTATGGTCCTGAGCATGCTGGGGGGAAGAGTTGTACAAGGGAGCCCTGTCCTTTTAGGAATTAAACCACACCCACAGGCAGTGTGGCTTAGTGGTTAGAGCACAGCTGAAGACGCAGACCTTGGGCAGGGTTAATCATTGTCCCCCAGTCATCCCCAGGGTGCAGCACGGGTCGGGTGTTTGCATTTCCATTCCAGGCCCATTCTACCCCTGCCTGGACCGGGCAGGGTGTGAACCACTCATGCCTGGGAAGGAATGTAGCATCGGCAGGCTGCGGAGCCTGGCTTTTCACTGGACTCCCGCTCAGGGTTCTAAGGTGCCCGTCGCCGTGGCCTCTGGGCACGGGCAGAGCCCAGTGCCGAGTGCAGCCTATGATGCTGCCTGCTGACAGCACAGCGCCGGCGGGTTAGACCATTAGGCAGCGTTTCCCGGCTGGAGATCTGGGCTGCCTAAGCCCCGCACGGCCCTTGTGCTCCCCAGCTGGCGGGCGGCCTGGCTGGGACATGCACGGAACGTGGCCCCCGGACTCTCCGCCTCGCTCCTGGGAGGCCGGCGGGACGGAGACAGGGCACCGCTGCCAGCTCCAGGGTCAGCCCCTGACTCTTGCCCTGAGCAAGAGCAGAGGAGGGGAAGCAAACGCAAAGCGGCGGCTGGCTGTGCCCCAGCGCTGCCGGGGCAGGGAGCTGGAAGGCCTCTCTCCCCGCCCCCTCTGCCAAGCCGAAAGCCAATCGTATCCCATGTTCCACCGCAGCGGTCGTTATAAACCTGAGGGAAGACAGGGCCTGGGCTGCCCAGCCTGGAGCTCCCAGCCGAGGGGCGCGAGTACCAGCGGGATGGAAACGCAGGGGTCGTGACGTCAGAGCTGGGAAGTGCTGGGCCCTTCCTGCCCCACAGCAGACAGCCCGGGCAGGGTGGGGCGAGCTTCTCCAAGGATGCCTGGCCGACGGGTCGCGCCCCAGCCCTGAACTGACCCCTTTAGAGAGGCCTGTTCAGTCCTCTGTGGAGAGGCCAGTTAGTGGCCCATTGGGAAGATGGCGGTTACACGTGAAGGCCTGTCAGCTAGCCACTGGGCTGAGCGCCACCAACTCATCTCATGGAAGGAACCCACTGGAGCGGGGGCTTCTGCCACTGGCGTGAGAGCCACCCAGGTCACGTCACCCCAAGCCACCGAGCAGGAAGGAGGTTCAGTCCCTGCTGACCGGGCTGGTGGCTGAAAAGCAACCACCCACGGCAGGCAGGATGAACTCTTCCCGCCAGCAGCCTTCCTCAGACCCTGCTGCGCTGCTCTCAGGGGTCAGGAGAAAAGCTTCTGGTCAGGTTTATAACAGCAATAAGGCCCAAGCCCCAGTCCGGATCCGATAACGACCAGCTCTTTGCTAACCAGCTGGTCCTCATCTGAGCCTCCGACGGGTGGTTCGGGCCTTGTTGCTCAAGCGGCCCAGCGAGGTTTCCACGTGGGTAGAAGACCCGTTTGGCAAATCCCAGCCTGTCTGGCAGCTCCGTGCGCTGTCACTGTGCGTGGACAGAGTCCAGAGCGAGGCCGAGGGAAAGGAAAGGGACGGAGAGCAGAGCTGTAAAGGAGAAGGCATTTCAAAGCAGCGACCCCAATTAACAGGAGAAATCATCAGCTGAACTGCATCCCCTGTTGCTGCATCACGCCTGCCGGTCCCCTCCCTGCATCTGCTGGGGCGGGTTAACCAGCACGAGCCAGGAAGGACCCTTGTCCCCCGGCTCTGTGCGATCTGAAACGACGACTAGAATCCGCAGCCACAGAGCGGAAGGAGCTGTTCTCGCTCTCAGGGAAACGGCCGGGGCGTGCAGCGCCTCCGCCCTGCTCTCGTCCCTCCTGCTCCGGGCTGCGTGCCCGGCAGGCGTGATGCACCGAGCCCGTGGGATGCGGCTCCCCTGCACCGTGAAACCCGGCCCCGATTGGTTGTCACTCACAGTTAGCGGATCAGCAGCAAAAGCAGCCACACTGTTCCTCATCTCATTCTCATTGCCCCGCAGAGGGATGAGCGAGATGTTACCCAACCTGGAGTCCTGCTGCGTCCGCGATGCCCGCACCTTGGAGGATTCGGAGGGCCAGATGTTCCCACCGTTCTGGGGAGGGAGAGCCGGCAGTGAGAGTGGGCGGGGGCAGGGATGGGATCGGGCCAGCCGACGGAGCCTCACTGCGAGCTCTTCAGTTCGGAGCCGAGCTCAGCGGCGCCGGAGCCCTCGCGACGCTCCGGCCACAGGCCTCCACTCTGACTCTGACCCAGCCCTGGGCCTGTGCTCTGCCTGCTCTCCCGCAGAACCAGAGCCCACTACAGTGCTGTGCGCCCTGCCCACTGGGAACGGCACTAAGAGCCACCCGGCACGGCCCCGATCCGCCACCTGCCTATGGACTTATCCAGCTCCCATCACACCAGCCCTGCCCCCATTGTACAGGCGGGGAAACTGAGGCACGGGCAGGCTAAGTGAGTTGCCAGAGGCCACACAGGATGGTTGGGCGGGGCGGGAACTGAACGCTGGTCTCCCACAACCCGGCCCACCCTTCCTCTCGCACAGGCTGGGGGAAATGCAGGGGCTGTGTGGCTGCAAAATGCCACGGTCCCCTCAGACTAGCAGCGTGGCTGCAGGAGAGATGCAGCCCAGCCTTTATCGAAGGGATGGCGAGGGGGTGGCGTTAAGGGGCCGCAGGCTGGGCCCACGCACAAGGCCGGGGCTGTATCTGAGCCATGAGGAAAGGCTCCTCCCTATCTCCCTGCCCTGCCCTGGCGGTACCTGTACATAGAGGAAGGTCGCAAACCACTCCCGCATCTCCATCTGGGTGTCGCAGCACAGGTACCTGGGGAGGGGATCAGAGGGGGTGGTCAGGGTGGGAGCGTCCAGGCGGAGGTGACGTGAGCCGTGACACAAGCCTCTCCTGTCCCCGGCCAGCCGGCCTCCAGCACAGGGAATGCCATGACTCGCAAGCCACCTGCGGCAGAAATGCCATGGCCCAGGCAAAACACGGCCAGGCCCACAGACCAGCCCGCTGGCTCACACTCCAGGCTGCCTCAGCGGCTGCTCTTCCACACGGCAGCAGGATGGCACCTGCCCAGTGCAGGGGCTGCCGGCTGCTCTTGGTCCAGCCCTGCTATTTGGATCCGGGTGGGATACCAGGAAGCAGGGCAGTCTCTAGAGAGCCGTGACCCTGCAGTGCTCCTGGCTTGTATATCAGTGACATGTTCCCCCAGGGCAGGTCTCCTTTCACGCATGGGTTTGTTTGCAGGGAGACTGATTCTGGCTCCTGGCTCATCAGACTGGTTTGAGTCACGCATCTGATTTGGCCTTGGGGCCAGCTTGTAAGCCAGGCTCTTCAGGCATTCGGAAGCAGGCCCCAAGCTTACTGGGCTCCCCGCACCTCTCAGGATATGGCCCCTTTTTGCAGTTGCTAGGAAGACTGCGGCTGTCAGGCCATGGAGGTGCCTTGGTATCATTCATCATAGACACAGACAGCTGTGTGCCGAGTGATCTGCTCCCGACACCATCATTAGCGATGAGAGAACATCTGGGGTGTCTGAGGATGAAAGCTGCTCTGGGAAGCTGAGATAATTAGACCGAGGGCAGCTAGACAGCAGAGCCAGAGGGAGGGACTCTAGAGTGCGGCTGTCAGGCCATGGAGGTGCCTTGGTATCATTCATCATAGACACAGACAGCTGTGTGCCGAGTGATCTGCTCCCGACACCATCATTAGCGATGAGAGAACATCTGGGGTGTCTGAGGATGAAAGCTGCTCTGGGAAGCTGAGATAATTAGACCGAGGGCAGCTAGACAGCAGAGCCAGAGGGAGGGACTCTAGAG